CTTCCAAGAGCTATGCTTTCGCCGATCTAACCCTGTTTGGATCAGTAAGTATCAATTTGTTGTTGATATTTTTATCAGTCTAACACTGTAAGAAATTAGGGATTGTTCTCAAGATCATCGTATTTTCAATGCGCTCCATCGTTTGAGAATTGCTTTTCAACTACGATGTGTGGTAATTTGTCACACTAGACGAAATTCGCTTAGACAGTGTTTATGAGTTATCAGTGTAGTGTCAAAATTTCTGCTTGATATTTCAAGGAGGTGGCATAATTTTAAGAATATGTCTGTAGAGTAGACTTCGACAAGAACGAACAACTAATGTAATGTAATGTTCGCAACTAATATTGCCTGAAGAATAGTTCGTTATGTTATGACAACGGGCTTCTTATATATAAGAGTATATTCGGGAATCGTCAACCTCAATCAATCATCCGTCCGAATTGGACAGTTCTATTAAACCCTTGTAACTATATTAGCGCTCGCCGACTACTTTCATAACGGACGTTAGTTGAGTGAAACTGGACCGAATTTGTAGTTGCGAGTCAAAAAAACACACGGACTTAACAAGTTACGCTAGTAGGTGTGAGATTTTCTAAAATTTGCATGCACTTCTTCTAAGCTCATTATATCTACACTTTCACAACTATTCTTCCCATATTTTGTGCATACAAACACACATGAGTGCTTGCATAAAAACATAACGGTGCAGTTTTGTAAATATTTTTAGCAAACACAAATGTGTAGACTTGGTAAGTGCCGACATTGGCCGCCTTGACGATTATTTTGGGTTATTGTTTGTATACCATCTTTTAACGRTATATTTTTCGCTCGATGCCAATGTCAATACAACATTTCAACGGCTTCGCAAGTGTTTCAATGTTTCGCCAAAACGAGATATTTACAAATATGCACATGTATGTATCTTTATGTATGTATATTTGTTATTAAATATTTCATTATCAGTGTTTGAAATAAGAAAATAAGYAGCAATAAGCAATTATCACTTATACAACACCTAAGATCGATTTCAGTTGCCTGCAATCAATAACTGGCTTTCAAGTACGACAGTGCGTATGAGTTATGAAGGTTGCATATGATAGAATCTTATTTGATGAAGTGTGTTTGATGACCGTTTCCGGCTAATATATAGAAAAATAGATTTATCGCATATCGCTCCGATCTTATCAGAAGTTTTAATTTCCGTATCTTTCTTCTGAGCAGTTKTCGATCCCTTTCTATACCAACATTTTTTTTTTGGATTCTTTGAACATCCAAAAGTTTATATTTTAATTGCAACAGGATTTGGGATAATTTTTCATATTCAGGGGTGTTGTGGAATCCAAGACAGAATTGCTTAGCTGTCAGAATTGCAAACCAATTCTGATTTCCAATGGTGTCACAGGTGTCATAGAATCTGATCGGATTTTTGCCTTTTCGAACATATGCAAAATCAATATTCGAATCAGCGTTTACTACTGTGACAAAACAAGCATATGAATACATTTATAAAATAAAGAATAAAGACGCATTTGGGTGTTAAATTTCGTTTGTCATTGTTTAAATGACTTAAGCACTTTTTTTCTAAATTTGGCGGGCAGGATAGAAAAAAAAAACTGAACGTCATGTGGAATTGGGGCAAAGTTTATTATCTTTGGCATTAAATTATCTTCTATTGAAACTAAAAAAAACTAAGAAAGGTTTAGTTTGAACATATATTTAAATTAAAATTTGTTTAGACCAAAAAAAAATTTGTTTTTCAAATTTTCAAAGTTTTTATAATTTTACACTTTTTTTTGAAATTTTCAATTTAATTTAAACATAAGTTATTAAAGAATATGACTTTTTTGTTTCGGAAAGAAATCTTGACCTGCATCCTGCCCGCCGTCTGGCATGTCCACATGCGAGAAGCATCTGACAATTGCTTCCCAAAGTCAAAATGTAAAATATTTAGTATCAAAGAAATTTGCTGATGATGTTTAAATATAYAACTATAAACCCTAGAAATTTGTCATTAATCATATATTTATTTCCCTCCCAAAAAAAAACTTCAAAAAATCGATTTTTTTTTTTGCCTCTAAAGCAGGCTTAAATTAATTAAGACATTTCTTGTTTTATTCTTATGTATTCTCCTATAGAAAGAAAGAAAGAAAGGTAAATTAATTAGTAACAATCAAATAACTTCATTTCCTAACTTACATTTCAAATCTGTGTGCGACTATCTTCTTGATTTGTTTCTGACAGCAAAACCGATAAAATTGGTTTCCGTGACACCCAAAAGCGATACAAATTCTGTTTCGAATATCAAACCGGTAATATCTGGATTCATGATACCTACTGCTTTTTTTGAACGGTTTCAATTCTGATTCCGACAACTATCAGATTCCACAACACCCCTGATTATTAGTGAAGAATCAGGTAAAAAGGAAACTTTCGGGTCACTAGGAATAATGTAATGTCAAACCTTCGAGCATATTACCACAACGATAAATATGCAAAGAAAATCCACAAGATRTTTAGAGTCGGCGTAAAATTTGTTGCGTCCGTCATTTGGCGAATAAAAACTAAGCTTTCACTGCAAAAAACGGTGCTTTTTATAGTTCAATTTGCCATTGGCTTYAAAATAAACGGTCTCGCCGATTATTCACTAAGTTTTCGGGGATGATGATCCATACCACGAGTATGAAAATCTTACAGAATATTGATAGACTAAAGCCCTAAAAAAAGCCCTATGTTCCACCTAGGAACTACTGGAATATATACATTAATAGCCGTATATCTCCAGTGCTACCGATCACATTGTGTCACACCATGGACTGTTGGAAAGGTTAAATTTTTAAGCTTCATTCAAAAATTAACTTCGGGAACTTGAAAAAAGCTGTTCAAAAATGAGTGGAAATAATGACAAAATTCGCTATGTTTGGAAATTTTTCGAYAAAAAAGGAAAGGAAGCCGCCGAAGACAATAAAGGCAGTAGATGCTCAAAAGAGGTTGTTATCGGCGAAAAAATCAAAGAGTTCACAAAATAGTTTTGGATAACTGTATATATTTGAGTATGAGAAAGCTCTGTGTAAAGTGGCTGCCGCGCGAGTTCACTTTTGACCAAAAACAACGACGAGTTGTTGWTACGGAGCAGTGTTTGGGGATKTTCCAGCTTAYTAAAATCGAGTTTTTGCGTCKACATGTGACAATGGATGAAATATGGATCCATCATTTCACTCCGCAGTCCAAAGTGTGGAATAAGGCAACAGTCGGCTGGGAAAGTAATGGCGTCTATATTTTCGGATGCGCATGGAATAATTTTTATTTACTACCTTGGAGAAAGAAGGATCATCAACAGCGACTATTAGATAACGTTATTGCACCGATTAAAGGACGAAATCGCCGAAAACAGCATGTAAAGAAAAAGGAAATGCAGCGTGTCACAGGTCAGTGAAAACGATAGCATAAATCCATTAATTGGGCTTCGAATTGTTTTCACAAGCACCGTATTCTCCAGAACTGGCAAATCCACTAATTGTGCTTCGATTTGCCTCCGCATCCACTGTATTCTCCAGAACTGGCCCCAGCGACTCTTTTCTTTTCTCATATCTCAGTTGAACGGTCGCTATAATCAGCGTATCACCCTTGAWGGGAACTATGTTGAATGAAAAGAAAAAATAATTTTGCCAAAAATTCATGCTGTTACATATTTAAACAGTATTTTGTGAAATTTTTATTTAAGACGCTCCATTATTTCCCTCGTGCGCTGCTCTAGACATTTCCTGCAGTCTTCTCGTTTGAACATGGATAAATCACATTATCTGCCGAAGCCAAAAAATATGAATAAAAAAAAACAAATTTTTTGTAAAAATTTCTTTATTCAATTTAATTAAAAAAAAGTTGAAGTTTGATTAGAAATACGAAAATACTTTTTCGACTACCCAATATAATTATGATGAATATCGTGTATTTTCTGACCACCCTATTGCCATTTTTACAAAACTATTTGAATGTGTTTATGTTTTTAAAGTATGATTATAATAGACATTCTAATAAATGCATTTCGGTGTTATAAGCTCTATTGTATGTATTGCAGGGTATGTATGTATTTGTGGGCGCAAGTGCTTGTGTAAGAATTCCTAGTCTCTCCCTCAAATGAAGACAAAGCAGATTATGGTCAATTAAGCTGACAAAAGCCAAAAATATTGGACAAAGAAAACACATTAGACAGCCACTAACTACTACACTCGGRTTTTATTGAAAATTAAGAAGAAACGCGCTGACACATGCACTGGGGAGAGCGAGTGCCTATTGATGTTGCACYGGGCAAAAGTGAAAAAGTTAAGTAGCCAAAGTCAAAAGTAAAATTGTGGGAGGAGTTGCATGTGCACTCTATGAACATCGTGAGAGATTGAGAGTGCAATGAGCACATTTTTAACAGCACACGCGACAAATGAACAAGCGATTTAGTCATATATGAAGAGACATGTGTTTAAGAAAAATTGCTTTTCCTTCGGTATCAAATATAATACGTTACTTTTTGAGAATCAAAGTGAGATCGRTGTGCTGAATAGCGTGAATAGTGGGAGATCTTTACTGCTCAAAACGCAAGCGCTGAAAACTCAAGCGTTCGGAACACTTGAAAMACTTGAAAGATGCTGTCGAATAATATGTGCAATACATACGTACAAAAAACTATATATTTGAAACAACAAAAATTATGAAAATGAGACAAGAGTTCAAGAGTTTTGAACATGCTCAGAACACGATATTTTGTATTGAAAAAGTAATTGAGCGTCGAGCAAACGCAAACTGTTGTATACAAAATTTCGACATCTCATGCGCATGAGATCACTACGAATTAAAGTGTGCAAAGACTAGCAAAACGTATGTTTTTTTCTTTTTCAAAAGCATGGCAAGAAACTTTTAAAATAATATTTATTTGTAATTGTTTTTTTATTTGATAACGTTTTTGCGAATTTTTTTCTTGACGCTACCAAAGTGCTGTGGCTCTCGTACGCACACACACTTATAATTTAGTGAGTAAACACCCACATTCAGTCTTGCTTAGGCCTGATTTCCGAGCATTTTTGCCGATTTGGAAAACTGTGGAGATACACTGCGGCGCTCGCAATAGTTTGCTGTATGCTGTCTGCTGTGCAGTGATCGTCAACGGCTACGAACGCTGCTTCAACGCGGAGAGTCAATTCAGTTCGTGCGTTCGCGGAGCGTGTGCGAGTACTCTTTGAAAAATTTACGGAAAGCAAATTTAAAATTTTAACGAAGGTGTGAAGGTTCTTCTGGTTCACAAGGTAGAATTCTTCTATAGGTGATCGCTGTGGTTGAATATCATATTTGGCATGTTTTTTCACTTTTGGTAACGCGCGGGGTTCAAAAAAGAAAAAAAAACAACAAAAGAATAAAAATGAAAATGTGAAAATTTTTATGTAAAAGGAAATTAAAAACACACACACACGTATAATTTTGTATTCAGGCGTACGCAGTGCATTGGAAAATTGATTAAAGTTAAGCAAAGTCAAGCGATTCGCGGCGATTACGAATGCTGCATACGCATCCGAGCAGTAGTGAAATTAGTACAAAAACCTCTACAAAATAGGCAAATCGGTGTTTAAAAATAGACGTGCCGCCGTCCGCAATACGGAGCAGCCAGTCAGTACACGAAAAACATAGCAGCACACTTATATGCGCGCTTACACTACACACTGCGGTATAGGCGGTTGGAGGACCGAAACGCAAAGAAGAAGCAAAAGAGGAAGATTTCTAGAAGGAAAAAAGTAGAAGTAGTAGACGAAGCACAAGTGTATTGAGTGCGCTCATACGGCATTTGGTGAATGTATAGAGCGTCTTTGACGTCGCTCACGTCTGCGTCATTGCTGCTTTCTTCGGCATTAGCCCGTGTAGATAGCAACGCCGTCAGCTTAGGCGGCGCGCACTTCGACTTGTTCGTTGTTTCCTACAACATCTTCACTTTCGTCGACGACGTTGTCGTAGTTGCCGCTGTTGTCGTCACAACGTCGACGGGAAGATATGAAGCAAGCGCCGCTCCACCAAAGGGGAAACACAAACAGACAACAAGAGAGTAGCGCACCCTGGCATATTGTGGGAATCGTGTCGATACGGTAAAATTTCGCTACAATTCGCCATTTATTCAGCATTCGAAAGCTGGTGAGTTGTCGTGAAATTAGAGTTTGTGCGGAGTGTGTTTTGCTGCAACGCATCTAATCTTGCAACTTGTGGCATTTTATTTATACGCGGAAACAAATATAGCGGAATCAAGTAGTAATAAAAATTTTGTAAACAAACTCGTGTCACCGATTCCCTGCCGCAGTCCCTACGCAGCGGGCAAATATGCAAGCAGCGCCTYCGAACGCCGCCACAAAACCTAAAACCGCCTCCATAACGACCACAACAAAACCGACCATAATAACGCATCCAGTAAAAACGAAACCCTACATTGATTCCCATCTATATCAGTCTACATTACAGCAGCAGCAACAAAAAACAATTGGTAGTCCGATTGGTAGCGGCAAAACGAGCGTCGTGCTCTCCGACGATCCCACGCGAGAGATTGAGGAGATCTCAAAAAAGATATCGGAGCACGCCGATGCATTATACCATACGTGGAAGAGTCGTGGACTAGCACCGACTGAATTGTTGGGTTTCTATACGCATGCAGCGGCTGCAGCTGCAACAGGCGACGGTGCAAGTGACGCGGGCGATCTTTTTGCGGTCGATGACGAGCAAACAGCGGAGGGACTGCAGAARTTGGTGAAAACCTTTGTGTTAAAAGATAAGGAACAGCGCGCGGGCAAGGCGCACACGAATACCAGTAGCGCGGTTGGCAGATTAGGTAGTGGTGTTGTGAGTGCCGGTGTTATTGGTATAGGTGGTGTTGGTGGACTCGTTGGCGCCGGTAGCGTTGATACAATAMAAGAGTCAAACGTCGATGTCAATATGGTGGGTAAATTGAAACAGACAACGACGTCTACAACAAAAAGGAGCGTCACGTCACCGAAGTCACCCACAACCACATCGGCTATATTGATGAAAAGCGCCGATGCACCTGGCGCTGATGTAGTGGATACGCTGAAGAAGAAGACTACAAAATCCAATGGTAAAACAGTCGGCGCCACATCTTCCAGTGCGGCGACGTCTTCGGTAACTAGTAAGTCGGCGCTTGCACAGAAGCATGAGAAACAACAACACGCAACTAGCAGCGGTAGCGGCGCCGCAACGTCAACTAAGTCGCGAGGCACAAGCTCTGTCTCCAACCCTACAGCTAACACTACCACAATTGGGCGCAGTAAGCCRCATGTTTCGAATTCCGCACCACTGGATATTAACTTAACGGTGGACTTAAATCTAGATCTGTCGGATCTTTCAGAGTTGCAGACGCATAATTTGCGCAAAATCAAAGAGCTGCTACAGGAAAATACACCAACAACAACAACAACAACACAAACAGCGAAAGCTGCAACAAACAACGGTACGAAGCAGTCGAGGAAGACGAATACGGCTAATACAACATCAACGACAGAYGCCGACGCCGCGCGACATAGCGCTACTCATCATTCACGCCGCGGAGAGCTGACGCCCAAAAGCAACCATGTCGATAGTGGCGGTGGTGGCAAGGGTGAAGTGATGGCTGTCARCAATGGCGGCGGAGGAAGTGTCAATAAAGCGGCAATCACAATTGTTGGCAACGGTGGCGTTGCTGCTGTTGATGGTGTTGTTGYTGTTGCAGCAAGTGTCAATGTTGATAAAAATAGCGGCACCAGCGGCGCGGGTGCGAGCAGCAGTGGCGACAAAGGTRGCGGCGCGGCCATTAYAACAGCCACGAACAGCAAGCGGAGCACGGCGGCGGCTGCGAAAGTGAACAATTCGAAATTAACGCCAGCTGATAATCAATCGAATCATAGTGCCATTAGCGTCAGTGGCCACAAGCAATCGAGCAAAGAAAGCGGCGAAAAAAGTACCATCACAACAACGAGCGCGACACCGAGCACGCGGATTGCAACTGTCAGTGGCAGTAGTGGCAACAAATCAATCAAAGCGCCCACCATTAAGGAGGATAATAAGAACGACAGCAACAACAATACCAATACCCATACTACTAATCACTTGAGTAGTGGTGCYAGCCAACATCGTAGTGGCAGCAAGTCGAGCGCGAAAAAGGATACAAGAACTGCTAACAGYAACGGYACAGGAGCAGCAACGGCAGGCTCTACAATTGCTGGCGCTACGGCTGAGAACGGTATGGCAGCTATGCCTGCAGCAGCAAGTGGCGCGTCAACAACAACACCTTCAAAATTTGTCAAATCTGGACGTACGCTGACCAATGGACAGGATAAATATGGTAAAGTGCCAGCATAAAGTATTCTTACAATATACATACATACATATTCACATAAAAAACGCTTTGCAAATTTCAATATTAATCACAAGAATTTATCTGCTCAATTAGTTGGTCGACCGATACTTACGCGCGGCTCGGTTGCAGAGCGTGTGCTTATGTTCGAGAAGTGTCCGGATGTGCGGAACTCGTTTTTGAATATCAAAAGACCCGATCCAGCGGATGCGCCACCAAAAAGTCTGCTCAAGGTGAGTAAATTATCACTGACGTCGCCGTGCGCTTCGAAGCCTAGCATCTATATACATATCTACATTTGTGAGTGTGATGTGTGTATGTGCGCTTATTCAATGTATGTATGTATATGAGGTGTGCAGGTGCAAAATACTGTTAAAAAAATGAAAATTGACTCGTCATAAAATCACAATGGATTTTCAATATTTTCCTCTAATGCTACACTGCAAAACGGTTATCTAATAGAGCGATGAAAAACAAAAACAATAGCAACAGCACGAAGCACCGACATGATGAAAATGAAGTGAGCGGTGTATGCATGGCAACGAAGTGCGGCAAGCGGTGTGCGAAATGCATAAAGTGACCAATGAATCACATTGCTACACTGTGCAACAACAGCGCGAAATGTTAGACGTCGTTTAAGGTTTTTTTCAAAAAATTGAAAAAATTCAAAACGGTGAATTTTAGAAGTTTGCTCTCGCTTGTAAAAACTTATGTCAAAAATTGACAACTGAAATGTCAAAAATTGACAAATTGGACAAGTGTTTCACGGTCACCYGTCAAATTAGAAGAATCTGCATATAGTTTGTAAACAGGGCCTTGGCCTTTGTTTAAAAATAATCGAAGATTTCTATGTTTGAGATGTTTATCATTTCAAAAATCAGTTTCTGTTTTTTTTTTGTTTTTAAGATTTAACCCACTTCTTTAAGGCAAATACAYTTTTGACACCATTTATACTATACCCTTTTCAAGCAAGCATCTTATATAAAGTRCAAAATTGTATTTCTTGGTTCAAAACATTCGTACGGCAAGCTTACAAAGCATCTAAGTAGAACAATTCAATTATTATTCTGAAATTATGAGTCCATGTTAGTTTCTKAAAGACCGTTAATTATGAGAATATTTATTACATTTAAATTTAATTGAGTTAAGTAAGTAATAATTAACAAAATTAAATTATTAATTTAATTTATTAATTTATTTCTCAAAATTAAATTTCCCGCAATTGCACAGTGTACTCGTAATTAACACGATCTGCAGCCGAACCTCAAATGCGTGCCGACAATTTTTAAGGTTGCCGCCGCAACGCCACCGTGTTAATGCAACGTTTTTTTTTTGGTCAGACGAAAAAAAAACACAGCAAAAGTGTGAAAGCGACTAAAATAAAAATATAAAAAATCGACAWAAGACATGAGATTAGCGTAATCTCTGTACAATGGAACGAAGATTAGTTTGATTTGCTATTRTTTGGCTCTRCTATTTCATTTAATTGATTTCAAATAATCTGCTTTAGTTTTATTTTGCTGCTAATTGCTGCGGCTTGTGTTTACGACTTTTTCACATTTTGAGAAGCTTATTATGTTCTCTACTTCTAGCCGCTTTTTTGAAAAAGTTCATTATAATATATAATAACATATAAATCGGTATGCGTGTGAYTAGCAGCTAACAATGAAGTTCATTTGTTATTATCAATCAATTTACATTGGTCAGTCGTCTAACCCGACCAAAAAGCACATTAACTTTTGTCAGTGTTTTATATTTTTTAAGTTACACTTTGCATGATCTAAGGAACTCTCAGAATGGCATCACTTTTTGAAACTTCGTTTTTCTTCTAAGTAAAGTAATGTCAAAATGCACAATTTCGAACTATGRTCGCGCTTTCAAAGCATATTTAGAAAAATGGAAGACTCATTTTAGTGTGTTTTAGAGAGATTAATTTATATGTCGTGCATAAAGTTGGGTTATTCGCTATAAAGAGAAAAAAGAGACAATTTTTGCAGAGAAATTCTTACAAAAACTCYGAAATTATTTTTTTTTATTGAGTTATAAAATTTATAAGAAATAAAGTGTTTCTTACAATARTCAAACTTYAACCGTTAATTTCTTTTAAATGGTTATATTTACGAAAAAATCGTTAGAGAACATTTTGTGAATCATTAAATTTGCTACCAAATCTAGGTTAGGTTAGGTTAGATGGCTGATAGATGATCGCACGAGGACTGGTGTATGTAGTCCTTTGTCAAGCCGTAGGAATTAAGAACTCCAGTGTTCGGACTTACTGATTGGCCAAACGCTTAGTAGCCAATACAAATTTGCAAAGGCGCTTAATTTCAACTCCCACCAGTTCCTTGGGATGTCTGAAGATAGCGCTCCCAAGTCTTTACGTCTTGACCTCCCAGAAGCGGGACAATCAAGAAGAAAATATTCAAAGAGATTACGAGATCTCCTGCAATCAATGTTGAGCCAGAAGGCTTTTGCAACTGCACAAGTACCGTACGTGGCTCAGCGCTGGCCAAGCTTCCGCAAAGCCCAGCTATCCAGTAGTAGAACACAAGAGGATACGGGMGCACCAACCCGCTCCCATTCTACCGATAGTGATTCAAGGGTGCCTTTCCTTGCTAACTCATCAGCTTTGCAATTACCTGCGCTTCCGCTATGGTCCGATGCTATTGATAGCGAGATTAGGCACTCCTCGCCCAACCCTGAGCGCAATGTAAATGAGTATCATCGCTCTGTTATCTGAGTGAATGTCCACTTCTGTAAAGGAGTGTGGAGTGCGTCGGTGTAGCAAATCTATTGCTACTTTGATGGCTGCAAAATCTATGAAACGAGATATTTTTTTCAAGCAGTTGGAAACGAGTTATGATTTTTTTGATTTGACGCTACGCTCATCGTTCACGCCTATAGAATTCCTTGCGAAAACTGCACGAAATTGCTTGTGAAAGCAGGCAAATCAACTTTTTTCCACCAAATAATTAAGGAACAATTAAAGCTGACAGAAATGCGATTTGTTGCTTCGTACTAAGAAAACACTATTCATTGCCACGATCACCTTTATATTTGCATGCTCATTGCTCTGTGTACAGCTTCATAGAATAATCTAAGCGTAAATACATATGTATGTATGTATTGGCATTTATATGTATGCGTGTATTTAGCTTGAAGTACAAATTGTTTTTACTTGTGGTTTATTGGCAATTCGCTTTATCTACACAAGTTGTGAATATATTTTTGTAATCGTACTAAATAAATCGACATAAATTTAGAYGAACGCCCGTCAATACAACCCACACACAGCGACACATACATACACAAGTGAGTGTRTGTGTGTGTGTAAATGGTGTACCTACGTATTAGCGTCGCACCTTGGGGCCCGCGCAAACAATTGTCGAAATGTCTGCGCCTCGTGCAATTCGCCAACGGCCAATGAAACGGTTAAGTTGTAAAACGCCAATTTGAAAATCGAATAATCGGAAAAACGGAAAATCACTCATTCCAAATTTTCCCTATCTTTCAAGAYTTTTTGTTTTTATTTTAATTTTATTTTTTTGCTTATTTATTTTATTTAGTTGAATTCTTTGCTGAGATATGCACACTCTGACTCTTGGTTTCTGGTAGTGGTTTTTATTGTAATTAGTGTATTTTTTTTTTATTGTGACGTGTCGAACGATCTTAAGTTTAAGGAGAGTACTCTTAAGTTATTAGCGAAATCATTGTTTGCGAGTATATAATTACAGTGGTGGTCAGAAAATTGCTACAAATTAATCGAGGAGGGGTTTAATTTTCTTATTTCAAAGCAAATTTCAATAAAACAGGGTTTTCCAATAAGTGTGAAATAAATTCTTTTCAAAAAGAAATACACGAATTGTTAAGGAATTCAAATGTTTTTTATTTAATATTAAGAAGTAGTCTAATGGGATAGCCTAATTTCTTGACATAATCGCATCTCCGCGCTTTTCTCAAAATAATTCGGTTGTTATACGTATTGTGTGACACGTAGCTCCGCCTTGCTGAAACCATATGTTGTCAATATCAACTTCTTCCAATTACGGCCATAAAAACTTTATTATATGTAATCTATACCGCTCTCCATTGACAGTAACGGTGCCACTAGCTTCATTTCGAACGAAGTAAGGACCGATTTTTCCACCGGACCATGCTGTAGGTTTACAATAACAAATCAGCCAATTTTCTCGCAAAATATCTTCAAAAAAAAAAAATGAATTGAAATTTTTCGGAATTCGGATGACACGCCCGAATAATAGCTGCATACCATGCACAGGATTTATTAAGTTTGCCACTAAGTATGTAATATGTAGCAGCATCTGATTCTCAGAAATAATATATATAAATGTTCAGCATGACAAAATTGCTATATCCGTCTTCTAACTGTATATAAACAAACTACTGCACCCGTTGTTGAGATATCGATCTAAAATTTCCTTCCCGAGGGGCTGCTCTTTTGTCGAGACTACCGTTATCAGACCACTAGAGCATATAACAGTCATACAAATTGAGAGATTAAAGTTTTGTTCTGTGTTTCCTCATGGAGACTGAATTTCCCGACCGTTAGGCCAAAGATACCTTCTTTACCGATCCTGCGCTAAGCACGATTTTGACATGTTGAAGAACTTCGCTTTGTGGCTATATGTTTATCCTTTATATATGTCCACTGTAGTAAATGCCACAAGAACCTACTCGTCTCAGTGCTTGCTCCATCCATCATACTTCTTGTACGGCGGTGATGTCAGCCTTTATTTTTACGAGGACATCAAACAGCTGGCCAGCGGCAACTTCCCAATTAAGAGACCGGTCATTCCAGTTGCATGCTCTCAAATTGTAATCTTTAATGCGTTTGCCAAGGTCGTCATTAAAATGGAAGTATCTCGTCCGAGGCTGTTATTTAGTTTTCAAACCCGCCGCACAACCCTTGGAAGAAATGGTTCGCCTTCTCACTTTAGCGCACCTTCAAACGGATATTCTTTGGCTACCCAGAGGATACTTGGTCTAAGACTGGAAGTCGTGAGCTGCTTGAACCATATGTAAAAGAATCGTTTCTGGCCACTCCCACGTGAATGGTGATCAGAGAACTTTCCTCCCCTGCGTGAACTTCTACACATGACTCCATCGAATATGCTTCTTATATTGATACCGATCTCTATCAACATAATTTTCGTATCTTAATTCTCAATGTTTCAAGATAAAAATATCCATTAAGAATAACAGAACCGTTAGTTGAAGCCAAACCATTACAAATCACTAACTYAAAAATTCTACATTTTTTCTTCCGAGAGCCTTTCGCTCCACTTCTGATATCATTTTACAGTAGTAGTATTAGATAGAAAAGCTTCATCAGAAATTTAAAATTAGTTTTTTTTTGCACAAATTTCTTTTTAAGCTCTTGTAACTGTCATTCGGCCTCGACTGTAAATTTGCATGCGTACATTTATTATGCGCCAAAATGTGTAAGTGTTTCCTTTTATTGCGCAATAAAAATATGTGCGACTGTGTGAGTGAAATTTCCCTTTTTGCCATGGCGATAAGTTCATTAAACCGAAAATTTGCACGATTTCGAGAAAAAAGCGAATTTTCGCAAAATTATTAAAGCATGTTTATATACATACATACATACATACATGCATACATATGTGCATTTATGGTAATCGTTGGACTCAAGGCGCTTTCGTGTGACGAAGATGTCGTCGCTTGTCAGCTTGCCGGCAATTTATGTAGCATGCAACAATGCTAAGCATAATTTTATGGCATGCGTCATAATTGTCGTTGTATTGCGAAATGTATTTATATATGTATGTGTGCACATAAATCTGTAATTTAAAAAGCCAAATAATAATAGGCCGAGCTAGTGCTTTTGTTGATTCAAACAAGTGGGAAAATGTGTAAACAATTTAAAAATATTTTGTTTAATATAGACTTGTACATACATATAAATGTACATATTTATACATGTGTGTTGCTATCTCATAAATATGGGCATGTGTTTCAGACGGTTTTTTGTTTAACTCCAAATTGCTTTAAGGTATTTTACATAAATAAATAAAAGCATTTTTTGTATACACAAATTCCATAAACTGCGATGCGATCAGTACATATTTTTGTTGAAATTAATTCAATTACTCAACATGCGCTCGTTGCCGCTCGTGTGTCGGCACACACTTTCATATTTACACAGATACTCGGTCGGGGGCGCGCAATTGTAGGCGGATATGCACGAATTCAGCGCAAATTTAACGCGCTCAACACGGAAATTTCCTTTTCACACAGACATATGTATGTAAAATACACATATACATTTGTATATATCGTCACCTAAAATGCAAAATAACGTAATATCATTTTTCAGAAGTTTACAGGCGAGGAAAAACGATATAATAGAAACAACTCAAATTCAAAGAAAATTTGAGTTTTAGTTATAAAATGGTTATATAGTGGKTATATATTGATTATATATTGGTTATATGTTGGTTATATATTGGTTCGTTATATAGAGAAATAAAACAGAACTTTTGAGTTTTAGTWATAAAATGGTTATATAGTGGTTATATCTGACAGTGGAAGCTATAAATTTTATGCTACATATATGTATGTATGTAACATGAATCGCAAGCAATAAAAAACTCAATTTCTACTTTTTTGATGTTATGTTGTTTTGCATTTTACGTGACGATATATGTACGTACATATGTATATGCGTGTGTGTTTATATTATTTCACTCCAAAAAATGTACAAATGCATGTAGGTGCACCGCCTCCGCTTTTAATTATTTGCAAATACATATAAGTACTCCCACAAGAGCGAAGGAAGCAATCAAAACACAAACATACTTATTGGCCAAAGTATGCACTTAATGGCGAAGTTTTCTCATTAAACCAGTGGCACACAAACTGTGTTAGTATGACGATTATGTTTATGGCTTCGATTAAACAGTTTTTTGGGGTGCTTTTCTGTTAAGATCAGTGCACGAAACGCAACGAAAATTAGTAAATCATCACTGCCACATAACAACCACAATATGAAAGAGCACTTGCTTAACTTATTTAAGAGCTAAAGCTTCTACAGCTCAAGTATCTAAACTTTATTTACGTCTCCTTTGCTGCGATTTGTGTATAAAGGAAGTGTCTTTTGCTATGGTCTGGTAATTTTGCACATCATATCTTRTTATGTGTCATCAGAGTTTCGGAAACCCTGCCAAAGAATGATAATCGAGTATCTTTTATTATAATTGTTTTACAAAGAATTGTATATGAYGTCGGTTCTATTAATATTGGAAGAATTACAATAAAATTTACAATATCTATATATAAATAAGATTAAAAGAAATCGTGTGAAGTTATATACTCTAAAAGGAGTGTATATGGAATGAACGAATTATGAACAACGCAATTTATGATTATTTTAATGTTAACATTTTTATCGTAGCTGCTTATGACGACTTCAAAACCGAGAAGTCTAAAATGTTAATTTGTTTTAGATACTTTTAMATTGTAACGGGTGATCCATGCAGAGGTACCTTTTACATTAACCTTTTTTTGACAGATCACGCGTGAGTCGWTTTTAGCTGTCATGTTGTTTTTGTTCAGTATTGTTTGGCATTTCATCATCTAAGAAGATCCGCCGTTTTCGAGYCAAATTTGTTTCAGCGATGAGCCCCATTTCTGGCTCAAAAAGAATGTAAACAAGAAAAATTGCCAAACTGAAGAGAGTCAAGAGTGGGCTCATTTCTTCAAAAATGATGCCTGCAAGTAAAGCTCGTAATCTCATCGACTTTTGGTTTCCACACAACGCATCAATCAATGGATTTATTGAGAGAACACATCTGTGAGCAAATAATTTCACGTTTTGGTCCGGTCGATTGACCACCAAGATCGTGTGATGTCACAAMGTTACACTTTTTCCTGTTGGAATATGTAAAGTTTATAATCTATGCGGACAATCCCACTTCGATTTAGGGCTCGGAGCAGAACATCACGCTTGTCTCTCGCCAGTTACCAGACGAAATGCTCGAACGAGTCATTGAAAATTGTACTCAACGGATGGACCAACTGAGGCGTAGCCGCGGCCAACATTTAAAAGGGATAATCTTCAAAAATTAAATGGCAAATAATATCTTTTCGTATGTTAATAAACATTCTCCATTAAATTTGAAGTTTCTATGTTTTTTTCTTTAAAAATGGGAACCTCGAAATGGATCACCCCTTTAAGTATGTTTAGGTATGTGATATAAGTGGCGTGCAAGCGGTTTACTTTTTGCAAAAAAATTACAAAGTTTCTTCGAAAATTATAGATTTTKAATTAGTTTTTAAATATTTTCCAAAATTACAAGTTTTTTGACTACTCCGCAGGTTAAATTGCATTCAACACCGCCACCGCCGCCCGAACACAATTCAATACAACGTGAAATTCGGAATACCAAAACAGCTTACATACCCAGGTGAGTGAACGCTTTGAGCGCCGAGAAATGTATACTCCTTCACATAAATTCTCTCACTTTCACAGATTTTACTTCCCACATGGCAAGCCACAGCCACAAATCGCATTGGAACGCACTTTGCGCGGTATTTTGGCCGCGTTCGACTCATTTCCGAACAATCAGGTGACCAAAGACGAGCTGCCGCGCATTTTGAAAATCTGCGGTCTGCCCTTCTATTGGCGCATGCCGGTGATGGTTTTCTGTCAGCAGGGCAACTCTGGGCTGGTGGAGCGACAAAGATTCGTGGAATTCTGGAAACAGTAATTAATAACCAACCCTATACCAAAGTACCTTTAGGCATAACCCGAAACTATTATTTTGCTTATTTAGAATGAATGTTTACTGTCATGATGCCGCCTCACGCTTCGTTTACATTTTATCACGCGGTCAACGTTTTCGCCAATATATACTGCCAGAGGATTTGGCGCCGCTCGTGCAAGACGTGGTCGATACACATCCTGGCTTGGCGTTCCTCAAAGAGGCCACCGAGTTTCATTCCAGATATGTACACACAGTCATTGCGCGAATATTCTATTCGGTGAATAGATGCTGGTCGGGCAGGATAAACATATCGGAACTGAAGAAATCCGATCTCTTGGAGGTTTGTAGATGTTGGCTAACGCTTAAACTGCTATTACTGTAAGTCACACTTCCACTTTAAGGTGCTCAAGTTACTGGAGGAGGAGGATGATATCAATCAAATTATGGCTTTCTTCAGCTATGAACACTTCTATGTCATCTATTGTAAGTTCTGGGAATTGGACAAAGATCATGATCTGCTTATCAATCAGGATGATCTGGCGCGGCATAGTGATCATGCTTTGTCCACACGCATTGTTGAGCGAATATTTTCGGGTTGTGTAACGCGCGGTGATAACAAGAAGCAGCCAGAAGATGAGCCGAAAATGTCCTATACCGATTTTGTGTGGTTTCTGCTTTCCGAGGAGGATAAGCGTACACCTACCGCAATCGAGTATTGGTTCCGTTGTATGGATATCGACGGTGATGGTGTGTTGTCCATGTACGAATTGGAGTACTTCTATGAGGAACAACAACAGCGCATGGAATCGATTGGCATTGAGACGTTGCCATTCGAGGATTGTTTGTGTCAGGTGAGCATGCTTTAATATGTTTAGTCAAGGATCCCAATAATCAAAGGCCGATACTCAGCTAACAGCTCGGCTGCTCTTATATTATTGAAAGTTACATATGTATTTTTAGAAATACATATCTAATAGAAATAACTCAGTCGTGTTATATACAGTTTGAGAAGCACTGTTCTAATAAACGAATCTGATTTCAGATGCTGGACATGATTAAGCCTGCACGTCGCGACTGTGTTACATTGGGCGATTTGAAGCGCTGCAAAATGACACATGTCTTCTTCGACACATTCTTCAATCTGGAGAAATACTTGGATCATGAGCAACGTGATCCGTTTGCCTCGCAAAGAGATGAATATGTAAGTAGTTGAAAAAAAAAAACAAATAATAATTATTAAAAAGCTCTTTTCATTAAAAATCATACTTTGTTGTGTCGTTTAGTCTTCGGATTGGGATCGCTTTGCGGCGCAGGAATACGAACTGCTCATCTCGGAGGAAAACGAATGAACACATACTAACATGCATACAAATCGTACAAACTACATACACATCTACAAGTTCTTTGTATAAAGCAAATATGTGCAAAGCTATTTTTATAAAAAAAACAAAAACAAAAACAAAACCAAAAAACGAAAGAAAGTTTATAAGGAGAGGGAGCAAATTTTTCTAGTACACCTAACAATCTATTGAATTATATTTATTTTTTATGATCCTAGTTATTTATAAACATACACACCCACATTTCGCATGAACCAAATTAAAATATGCATACACTAACAAATACCAAAAGCGAGCGGGATTTGGAGAATATTAGTGAAAATCCACGAACCACTCGTATGGCCATTACCTAACGTTGAATGGCGGAAAATCTAGTCACAAACACTCATTATTTGCATAACACTTGCAATCATAACAAATTGATGTGCGAGAAAACAGCGCTGAGCCGGTAAATGGGAACGGAAGCAACATAAGCGATGAGAACCATTGGTGAACGCAATTAAGTGCAATAAAATATGGACCACAAGCACGCTTTAAGAATACAAAATAATAAAAAATTATATCAATTAGTCGCAATATGTTTTTGTTGTTGACTTAATTAAATAATTTTTTATTTAAAATTTAGTTTCGTTTTCTTATTTTTTTATTTTGATTTATTTNNACTTCGTAATTTTGCTTATCTAATATTTCGGAACCGCTATCCGAATGCGCATGATGTACGCCACTGTTATTACCAGCACCGGACAAGTGTCCCTTCGGCGGCAATTCTGTRCCGGATGTGTTGCCTATTGTGTGTCCAATACCGGATATATGCAGTAAATCGGTGCGGCCCATTGCATCGTTGGACTGTATGTTCGTTTGCGTTTGCACTTGTGGCAAATTGTGGTGTATGCGTTTGTAGTGATTGTAAACGGCGACGGCGAGTACCTTTTTCGCAAAATCCTGTCCKACCACATGACGATCCAAGTACTCCATGATTTTCTGTGGGGGCGGTGGTGGTTTTCGATAATTTTTCGGCTCCTCCTTTGCATTCTTCTTCGTATCGACTTCGGACAGCACGACGAAGAAGTGATTACATTTAGCACACTTCACGAAACGTGTTGAACTGACAAAAGTCTCCACTTGCGTGCATGGATTACCACATTTCGGACAGGATAGTATATTCTTGTCATTGGGCGGTTCACCGCCGCTGCCTGCGGTCGTGGCGCCACCACCAACTCCGACACCACCCATCGAACCGCCACTGCTGGCGCCTGTGCCCGATGTGGTGCTGCCGTTGGTGGTGCTGCCATTGCCCGACGATGCCGCGGTAGCTGTGACGGTTGTGCGGAAGGGCCCATTGCCATCTGTATGATTGTGCAGGCAACGTGTTGAAGTCACCGCTTATACACATCTAGATGTGTATAAGAGACAGATATTTATATTATATAAAATACGCTATTATTTTAAAATAAAACTTGACACTACTTTTTATTATTTAATGCTATCAAAAAAATTAATATATTTCTCAATAATTTCAATTTTTTTTTTGCTCTTTACTTGTAATAGTTTTTGTTGTTGCTGTTGTCTACATGTCTCACAGAAACAATTTGTTTAAACCTGTATTTCGTAAAGGTAATATATATTTATACAACGTGTAGAATTTTTTGTATTTTTGCAATTTTTTTTCAACAAAAAGTTTATCGCTTTCTTCTTCACTTTTAATAACATTGGACAAACATTGCTTAAATATGTAGAATTTTCGAATTTTGGCATTCAGCGTACATACATAGACATTTTGTAGGTAAACAACATCGCCTTGGGCTTGCTTTGATCAAGTCATTCACATTTGCCGTTCACACATGCGTGGTACAGTGAAATATTCATAAACTTTTCTTATTTGCGTTTATTGCAAAATATAGACTAAAAATATACATAAGTAGTGCTCATTTAATAATAATAATGATCATAATAATGTATATTGAAAATAATTGATTATTGTTTGCTGGGCAATTTCAATATATATATGTGTTTTTTTTTCTTTTGCTTTTTTGCCTTTAAATATTCCTTAAGGATATTCTGTTTCCTAATAGCTGTTCAAAAATATAACGTAAAGTACGGGGTGTACTTGAACAATTTGTGTAGTGGTAGTAAATGGAGGACCAACGCAACGCCACAACGCAACCGCAAACACATTTGTCTCGCTTTTTGTTGTTGTTTTGGTGAGAAAGCTTCGAACAAAAGCCGATTTTTTTTTGGTTTTTGTTTAAGCAAAAGCACTCATGCACTGCTGTGATAGCAACATGTTGCCGCAACATTTCTGACGTGTACTATAGTGTCAATTTATTGCGTGATGCGTACTTTGGCGCTTTCGCTGTCCTCATAGTTTTTACCCTCACTATCATTCTCATCCGCGGTACCGTCATCGCCATTTTCTTTGCGTACATACACTGGCTGTGCGTCGCCCTTCACGTAGTCGGCGGTGATGTGTACACCGGTGATATCGGAACCGGGCACCAAAAACATGGGATCTAGTAACAATTGCTCCTGTTGTACGCGAGTGAATTGTTTAATATAAATTGTAAAAAACTTTATATTCATTTGCAACTCACCATAATCGAACGGAGGCCACGTGCGCCGGTATGACGCTCCATTGCCATGGCGGCTATCGACTCGATGGCATCACGCTCGAATGTCAACTCCACCTTATCCATGCCGATGAGCGCCTTGTATTGCGGTATTAAGGCATTCTTGGGTTCGGTTAGAATTCTCACCAGCATACTCACATTGAGGCTGTGGAAGGGTACAATGACGGGGAAGCGACCAACAAATTCCTACAAACAATTCAGAATTATAAAAAAAATGTATAAGGGAGACAAAATGTGTGGAAGCATAAATATGGGCGATGGGCGTAAATCACATAGTGACAATGGTGGTCTAAACTTACAGGTATCATGCCGAATTCGACGAGATCTCTAGCTTGCACTTTTTTCAGGCTTTTATCGCGTTCCTCCTGATCACTGTCCATCGGAGAAGCGGTCGATTGAGCGGCACGACGCCCGGACGAAKTTGTTGATGGTATGCCGAAACCCAAATACTGCAACGCAAGAGAAATTATAAAAAAAACTCGAAAAATGGTATGTTATGGACCCAAACAATACACACCTTTTCGTTGAGTCGCCTTGCAATAAGACGATCCAGTCCAGTATAGGCGCCCGACGCCACAAAAAGTATATTCGTCGTGTCCACTTGTACAGTCTCGCCTCGTAATTTACGCGGTGAATTACGTTCGGGTACGTTAACGATGGTGCCTTCCAGCATTTTCAGCATGCCCTGTTGCACACCCTCGCCGCCTACGTCACGCAACTGATGTATGCC